CTACTAGCCCCCTCGGCTGCGTCTGGGTCAGGAGACAGACCTGTCTCTAGACCGGCTACCGAGCCACTCTCCTCGCCACTACTTCTTTGCCTGGCTGCTGAAAAGGCGGATGTCTCCCCCCGTTCCTGACCGCCCTCTGTTAGCTCTTCCTCACTGTACAGTGGGGCTGAGCCCACAGCATGCGATACTTCGCTTGGTGAGGGAACACCAAAGGACAGGGGCAGGTAGAGGACACGTGATTTCAGTGGGCTTGCTCCCGGGCCATGCCAACTAACGGTTGTGTCTGACGTACCCACCGACCGTTGGCTGTAGGTGTCAGAGGTGACCTGGGAAGAGGAAGACGACCGAGCCAACCAATCGATGACGGCAGGGTTGTCGGTGGAGACACGACCGCTGGATGACACCGGGAGCACTGGCCTCTGGCTGCGAATACTGCTGCCTCGACCCCTTCCTCTGCTGCCATGTCTGCTCGCTCCTAAAACATTGCCTCCTCTGCCACTCCTCTGCATGTTGTCTGACATACTCTTTAATTCAACGATTCTGTGTCCCTGAGTAACAATTCTGTGTCCCTGAGTAACAATTCTGTGTCTGTCCCTGAGTAACAATTCTGTGGCCCTAAGTAACGGTTCTGTGGCCCTCAGTAACAATTCTGTGTCCCTCAGTAACAATTCTGTGTCTGTCCCTGAGTAACAATTCTGTGGCCCTAAGTAACGGTTCTGTGGCCCTCAGTAACAATTCTGTGTCCCTGATTAACGTTTATGTGGCCCTAAGTAACGGTTCTGTGGCCCTCAGTAACAATTCTGTGTCCCTGAGTAACAATTCTGTGTCTGTCCGAGTAACAATTCTGTGGCCTAAGTAACAGTTCTGTGGCCCTCAGTAACAAGAGTAACAATTCTGTGGCCCTAAGTAACGGTTCTGTGGCCCTCAGTAACAATTCTGTGTCCCTGAGTAACAATTCTGTGGCCCTAAGTAACGGTTCTGTGTGTCCCTCAGTAACAATTCTGTGTCCCTGAGTAACAATTATGTGGCCCTTAACGGTTATGTGGCCCTCAGTAACAAGTCCCTGAGTAACGTTTCTGTGGCCCCCTCAGTAACAATTCTGTGTCCCTGAGTAACAATTCTGTGTCTGTCCCTGAGTAACAATTCTGTGGCCCTAAGTAACGGTTCTGTGGCCCTCAGTAACAATTCTGTGTCCCTGAGTAACGTTTCTGTGGCCCTAAGTAACAATTCTGTGGCCCTCAGTAACAATTCTGTGTCTGTCCCTGAGTAACAATTCTGTGGCCCTAACTAACGTTTCTTGGCCCTAAGTAACAGTTCTGTGGCCCTCAGTAACAATTCTGTGTCCCTGAGTAACGTTTCTGTAGCCCTAAGTAACAGTTCTGTGGCCCTCAGTAACAATTCTGTGTCTGTCCCTGAGTAACAATTCTGTGGCCCTAACTAACGTTTCTGTGGCCCTCAGTAACAATTCTCTGGCACTCAGTAACAATTCTGTCTGTCCCTGAGTAACAATTTCTGTGGCCCTAACTAACGTTTCTGTGGCCCTAAGTAACAGTTCTGTGGCCCTCAGTAACAATTCTGTGTCCCTGAGTAACGTTTCTGTGGCACTAAGTAACAATTCTGTGGCCCTCAGTAACAATTCTGTGTCTGTCCCTGAGTAACAATTCTGTGGCCCTAACTAACGTTTCTGTGGCCCTAAGTAACAGTTCTGTGGCCCTCAGTAACAATTCTGTGTCTGTCCCTGAGTAACAATTCTGTGGCCCTAACTAACGTTTCTGTGGCCCTAAGTAACAGTTCTGTGGCCCTCAGTAACAATTCTGTGTCTGTCCCTGAGTAACAATTCTGTGGCCCTAACTAACGTTTCTTTGGCCCTAAGTAACAATTCTCTGGCACTCAGTAACAATTCTGTCTGTCCCTGAGTAACAATTCTGTGCCCTAATAACGTTTCTGTGGCCCTAAGTAACAGTTCTGTGGCCCTCAGTAACAATTCTGTGTCTGTCCCTGAGTAACAATTCTGTGGCCCTAACTAACGTTTCTGTGGCTCTAAGTAACAATTCTCTGGCACTCAGTAACAATTCTGTCTGTCCCTGAGTAACAATTCTGTGGCCCTAACTAGCGTTTCTTTGGCCCTAAGTAACGATTCTGTGGCCCTCATTAACAATTCTGTGTCCCTGAGTAATGCTTCTCTGTCCCTAAGTAACGTTTCTGTGGCCCTAACTCTGTCCCTAATACAGAGTGGTCTGCCTCTCTTGAATGACTGGAGGCAAATGAAGAATTCTAAAATGGCCGCTATTTATAGCTCGACCATTACACAGTGCTGGCTGGCTGGCTGCTGATTGACTAATGCGATCACATGTCATGAATGAATGCATTATGGGTCAGCGCACCTTGTCTGCGCGCCTTCCAGAGATCCCCTCCCGCTCCGTCGCCGCACATGTCCGCTGCCATTTTAGGAAAAATTTCGATTCGCGCGTCCGAAGTAGGCTATTTTTCGGATTCGGCGCGAATTGAAAATTTTCCAATATTCGACTCGAATTCCACTTCGCCTACTTCGATTCGCTCATCTCTACTTACAATGCCATAAAAGACAGCATATAAAAAAAGGCATTTAAAGAACACATTTTTCCATTACTATATATATATATATATATATATATATATATATATATATATACGTATATATGTACACACACACACACACACATGTATATATATACACAGTATATATATATATATATAAAAAGCAGGTAACATATGTATTGAACCTGTCACCATTTTTCTCACTAAATATATTTCTAAAAGTGCTATTGACATGACATTTTCACCACATGTCGGTAACAACCTATGCCGTCCATACATATAAAGAAACCAAAACAAATAAGTTCAGAAATAAAGTTATGTGTAATAAAATGGAATGACACAGGGAAAAAGTATTGAACACACTAACTAAAATTTATTTAATACTTTGTAATGACAGCTTCAAAACGTATGAAGAAACTAGTCAATTGCTTTGCTCAGGTGTGATTTTGGCCCATTCTTCTGCACATTCTTCAAATCTTGAAGGTTCCATGGGCCTCTTCTATTACCTTTGATCTTTAGTTCTTTCCATAGATTTCCTATTGGATTCAAGTCAGGTGTTTGACTGGACCATTCTAGCAGCTTTATTTTCTTTCTTTGAAACCAATTGAGAGTTTGCTTGGCTTTGTGTTTGGGACGATTGTCTTGCTGAAATGTCCACCCTCGTATCATCTTCATCATCCTGGTAGATGGCAGCAGATTTTTATCAAGAATGTCTTGGCACATTTTTCCATTCATCCTTCCATCAATGATATAAAGTTTTCCAGTACCGTATGTTGAACAACAGCCCCACACCATGATGTTCCCACCTCCAAACTACCCTGTTGGTGTGGTGTTTTTGGGGTGATGTGCAGTGCCATTTGACCTCCAAACATGGTGTATATTATGGCATCAAAAAAGTTCAATTTTGGTCAATACAGTATTCTCCCAGTATTTCACAGGCTTGTCTAAATGTTGTGCAGCAAACTGTAAATGAGCTTCAACATGCGTTTTCTTCAGCAGTGGAGTCTTGCATGGTAAGCGTGTACAGGCCATGGCAGTTGAGTGCAATACTTATTGTGTTCTTTGAGTGGCAAACAATACTTAATGGGGGTTGTGTTCTTTGAAACAATTGTACATGCTAATTCTAGGTGTTTCTGAAGCTATCCAAAAGTGGTCCTAGGCTCTTGGACAACTCTTCTGATAATTATTTTCACTCCTCTGTCAAAAATTTTGTGAGGAGCACCTGGTCATGGCTGGTTTATGGCACAATGATTTTTGTTCCACTTATGGCCCCGACACTGCTCACTGGAAAATTCAGAAGTTAAGAAATCCTTCTGTAACCAATGCCATCAGTTTGTTTTAAAACAATAAGGTTGAGAAGGTCTTGAGAGAGCTCTTTGCTTTTACCCATCATGAGATGTTTCTTGTGTGACACCTTGGTAATGAGACACCTTTTAATAGGGTATCAGTTGAGACTGAACCAGCTGATATTAATTTGCACTGACAAGAAACAGGATTGCTTTCTAATTACTGATAGATTTCAGCTGTTTCTTGGCTTTCCATGCCTTTTTGCACCTCCCTTTCTTCATGTGTTTAATACTTTTTCCCTGTGTCATTCTGTTTTACTACATATAACTTAATTTCTGAACTTTATTGTTTTGGTTTCTTTGTATGTACGAATTGCATTGACATCTAGTGAAAATTTCATGTCAATAGCACCTTTAGAAATAAATTTACTGAGAAAATTGGTGACGTGTTCAATACTTATTTTACTATATATATATATATATATATATATATATATATATATAAAAAAATATATATATACTATATTGCCAAAAGTATTGGGACACCTGCCTTTACACACACATGAATTTTAATGGCATCCCAGTCTTAGTCAATAGGGTTCAATATTGAGTTGGCCCATCTTTTGCTGCTATAACAGCTTCAACTCTTCTGGGAAGGCTTTCCACAAGGTTTAGGAGTGTGTCTATGGGAATGTTATCAGATGAGAAGGCCTGGCTTGCAGTCTCCGCTCTAATTTATCCCAAAGGTGTTCTATCGGGTTGAGGTCAGGACTTTGTGTACTGGTGTGCAGTTATACTGGAATAGGAAGGGGCCATCCCCAAACTGTTCCCAAAAAGTTAGGAGCATGAAATTGTCATGGTATGCTGGTGCCTTAAAAGTTTCCTTCACAAGCCCAACTCCTGAAAAACAACCTCACACCATATTCCCCCTCCACCAAACTTTACACTTGGCACAATGCAGTCAGGCAAGTACTGTTCTCTTGGCAGCCGCTAAACCCAGACATGTCCATCAGGTTGCCAGACAGATAAGCGTGATTCATCACTTCAGAGAACATGTCTCTGCTGCTCTAGAGTCCAGTGGCAGCATACTTTACACCACTGCATTCAACGCTTTGCTTAGCACTTAGTGATGTAAGGCTTGAATGCAGCTGCTTGGCCATGGAAACCCATTCCATGAAGATCTCTACGCACTGTTGTTGTGCTAATCTGAAGACCACACAAAGTTTGGAGGTCTTTAGCTATTGACTCAGCAGACAGTTGGCGACTTCTGCGCACTGTATGCTTCAGCATGCATTGACCCAGCTCTGTCATTTTACATGGCATACCACTTTGTGGCTGAGTTGCTGTTATTCCCAGTTGCTTCCACTTTGTTATAATACCACTAACAGTTGACTGTGGAATATTTAGTAGCAAGGAAATTTAATGGATGAACTTATTGCACAGGTGGCAACCTATCATGGTACCACGCTTGAATTCATTGAACTCCTGAGAGTGACTCATTCTTTCACCAATGTTTGTAGAAGTAGTTTGCATGCCTAGGTGCTTGATTTTATACATCTATGTATATATTTCATGTATTATATATTAGCTATGTAGTTTTGAAAACTGCTGATCTACTGGGATTTTCACACACAACCATCTCTAGGGTTTACAGAGAATAGTCCAAAAAAGAGAAAATATCCAGTGAGCTTCAGTTGTGTGGAGGAAAATGCTTGTTGATGTCAGAGGTCAGAGGATAATGGACAGACTGGTTTGAGATGATAGAAAGGCAAGAGTAACTCAAATAACCACTAGTTACAGCGAAAGTATGCAGAATGAAAACTGTATGCTGCACAGTAATAAGTGGAGGGTATCCATGACTGTAATAAAGAGTGGGGAATAAAAGAATGCTTCCAAAGAAAGTTTATATAAAAGCCATATGATGGCAGTTTAATAGCATATTCACTGTGCAACCACAATCTCGTGTAAACAAAAGATCACATCCAACCTCTGTGCACAAGCATCCCAGCACTGGTGGTGAAGGTGGAATCTGTGAGCACATACCAGCTGGAAAAGACACACTGAATAGGGGCTGCTGAAAACCCACAGAAGCACTCTGTAGCAGTCCCATGTGTAACAAGCCAGGGAGACACCAAGAAGATGGCCACTCCGTGTGCTATCTAAGGTCCAGAAGTAATGTACTCCTTGGACCTATGGTGGTAAAGCCATCAGCTGAGCAACTGTGTCAGAGGGGGAGTGAACACATATATTTGATTTGTTATGTCATATTGGAAGCACTTCACCAGTATTTGATATAGATTAACCGCTTCCCGACCGCTCTATAGCAGAGAAATACTACTACAAGCCGGCACAGGTGCGGAAAATCACGTATATATACGTGATTTTGCATTTCCGGGTAGGGGGGGCGCATGCAAGCCGTGCGCTCCCCCTACCCGTGCCTCCATTTGTGGCTACGATTGTCAATCACCGGGTCCCAACCGGTGACTACTCACGGTGCCCAGTGATTTCCAAGGATCTCCGATGGGGGAGAAGAACTGTTTTGTTTACTAACAGTTCTCCTCCCTGTCAGCTCAGGCATACTGCTTTGGATTGCTGTGCTTGGCTGACTCAAATCTTGGACTGCAGAGTTAAGTGAAACATTTAGTAATAACACTGCTAAATGGGACAGCGTCCTGCTCAGACTGGTTGTTTGGGAGTTGGTGGCCGCCAGTATGTTAACAACCAGTGACTTATCCCTGCAGAGCTCATTCAGTTGTCAGCTGGGTATTCCCAGCTAATAAGTGAATGTAAACAAAGGGGTGAGGATTGTGTTCTTCCCCTCAAAGTTCATAACAGGCCCTTCAGGTCTGGATTTCAAGATAAATAAAGCATGGGGTTACCCCAAACTCCTAACAAGACCTTTATCCCAGCATGCATTCTGGTAGGCCAGAAAAGGGTGAAGGGGATCGTGCACCCCCCCTCCTGAACCATCCAGGCTACATGCCCTCAACATGGGGAGGGTACCTTGCCAGGGAGACCCTCCAAGCAAAGCACCTTGTTGATGAGGACAAAGGTTACTTTTCCACTACCCTTGCTCAGGGGTTGTGGGGGTCTGTGGGTGGGATGCTTATTGGAATCTGAATCATTAAAAATGTCCGGGCCCCCAGGTACCACCCTCCGTATGTGAATAAGTAAGGGGTACATAGTACTCATTCACAAAAAGAAAAAATGTAAATAGTAAATAAAGACTCAGACATTTTGACAAGTCCATTATAAACAATTAAAAATTCACCAAAAAAGTCACAAAATCTAAATCCATCAATATTCATGTCATTCAGCAATGCAGATCCCCGTCATCTATAAAGAATGACGAATGCTTACCTGCAAAAAGAAAAAAACAGCCAACATGCCACTGCAAATTACAGGTCCCAGTTGCCACAGCAGAATATAAGCAAAGAGGCAGGGAGTCCTGGGTAACATCTTTGGTCAATTATGGGCTTGACCACATTTGGTCAGTGACATCTTGGGGGCATTGTTTCCTTTTCCTTGGATAAGGGTCCAATATGGATTTTTGAGGGGACACCACACCTTTTTTTTGTATGGTGTCCCCCTTAACATCCATATCAATCCCTTATCTAAGATAAGGGTCTGTTATATATTTTTTATGGGGGAAACCCATGCCTTTATTGCATAGGGTCCACCATTAGCATCTCTACCAAACCCTTGTTTAGATTTTAACAACTTTGGTTAATGTCAATTTTGCTGTAGTAGATTGTATACATTAAACAGATGTGGGCTTCACACGCAGGTTAAGGGCATCACTCGAGCATGTTAGTTAAAGGAATTGTGCATTTTTAATGGCTCGTTTTAAATATTAATACAATTCCTGCTCCCTCCCATGCTTTTTCTACAGGCAAGACTTTTTTTTACCTTAATGCATTCCCTGCATTGATGAAAAAAATGTTGCAGTAAGTGTATCTCCTCCTCACCTTCCTATATACTTACCTGAGTGCTATATCGATCCAGCGTGTGCCTGTCTGGAACCAGCGCTGCTCTTTCTTCCTCTTCACACAGGCACAGAGGCAGTAGCCGGAGTCATTGGCTCCTGCCGCTGTCAATCAAATCCTATGAGAAGGGAGCAGGACCAAACTGCTTTGTGTGTGTCCAAAGACACATACAAAAATGAGAAGCGCACCAACCTTGCGCATTACCTCAGTAACCAAATTTTATTAAATACAAAATGATACTCACAAACAGCGAAGTAATTCAAGCATGTAAGTCCTCAAAGGAACTTGAAAGTTAGGAAGCCTGCGCGAGTCCCATCATAGGGGTAGACACACAGAGTACAGCTGACATGTTTCGAAGGGCATCCCTTCTTCATCAGAGCTACTGAATTCTGATGAAGAAGGGATGCCCTTTAGCAAAGAAGAAGAGGAGCCTAGAGTACTGGTGGGGCAATCTGCAAGAGGAGGATTGGGGCACTCTGTGCAATACCATTATAACATGTTTATTATTTAAAAAAAAGGAAGCATTTACAATCACTTTAATGCTTCAGAACCAGTGGGACTGTTTGGGACAGCTTGCTGTCCCTGAAAAGCTGTGGTACACATGGGGCCATCTTCAGATCTGGGAACAACATCCCAGGTGCTCGGGGACCTCCTAAATATCCTATGTGTGTCCTGTAATGATTTGGTAGCTGGCAAAAGGAACCAAAGCATGATGGAGGTGCAGACACCCAACACACCAAAAAGTGAAGATTCTGACTGAGGCCACAGCCTTTGAACAGAGCAAAGTTACAAGGAATTGGTGGCAGGACAGGTGGATAGAAATTGTGTTCTATTGCAGTTTTTTTTTTACATTTTTAAACAACAACAGGGTGGCTTTAAGAAACCAATGAAAAATGTTTGTTAACCACTGTAATTGCTGTTTTAGAAACTGGTAGAAATCCAAGAAATGATCGTGAATAACTAAGTGCTGACACAGACCCTCAAATGATAAATGATAATTACAGTTTTACTGGATTTGGTCTTTCTCTAAACATAATGCAGTATAATAAAGACACAGATTTTTTCAGTGAAAACTGCTTTTCCTCATTTGTTGTGCTGAAAGGGACATGGATAAAATCAATTTTAACAAAGGCAGTTTGAATAATGGTGGTCATGAGAAATCAGGATTACCTTGGATATTATATGGTGCAACACTTTCTATTGTGCGGTTAGATGTGATCACTGAAGCTGCTGATTGTGTGAAATAGAAGAGTTTTCCCTTTGTTGTGTCTCTGTAGTGCCCGTTTCAAATACAATGTACACATCATCCTCCATGGAAGCGACTAGCAGTGGCTCTTCATTATATTCATTATCATCTCCTTCTTCAGTGTATTCATTTGCTACAGCAGATGTGACATTCCCATTGTTGCTGTCCTTCTTTTCCTCTGTCATAGCAGAAATTTAAGTTATGTGATTATTGTAAATTGCATTCATTATAAACTAGTATAGAGAAATGGAATTTGTTTCTGTCAATAATGAAAAGCAGTTATGATTTTTGAAACAAGTGTTGAATACTGAATTCATACAGTGGTTTTACAGTGTCACAATTAAACGTAATAGTATGATAAGCCTGAAAAAAATCTGTCCACAGGGGAAGGTACTTTGCAAAAAAAAAAAAAACAGAAAAATTAATTTGTAGATAGTCTTGGATCTGCTTGATTCATGCCCAGTCACAGAGGGACAGATGGATGACAGATTTTATTTTTTTAACCTCTCTGGCCATATGCATATGTGGCCTCTCAGCAGGTGGGCTTTAACACTGAGCAGCCTTATATATGCAGCCCTATTTAAACACTATACTGTGCTGCGAGTGTGCTCCCTGTGCGCTCCCAGCGCATTACAGAATGTGTGCCGGAAAGCTTGCAATACATACTTGCGATCAGCGGTCACATGATCAGAAGGCCCGCCTCCTGGCCTTTAGATCTTTTGAAAGGGCTGGGAGGTGGCAGCGGGAAGGGGTTTAGATTTCCTGAGATCTACTAATATGGCTCATCCCCCTCTTTTCTATTTAACTATTTCTTATGTTTACACCAGTCCTGCTGTGCAAACGTATGTGCTTGTTTGGTTTGGGGTCTGATTATTGGTATTGAAGTGAACAAAATGATGTGTCTCACTAAGCTGACAGCCCATTCACCCCGCTTATAGATAATGAGTTTACGCTGTCCATTGCACTGAGGAATAGTGGTGTGTTTTATCTAGAAAGATATTGTAATCTGTTTCTGTGTTACATAGAAAAAAGGAAAGAGGTATTGGGTTAGTTGATGTGGTTTAATAATGTGAAATAATGTTTAATTTTATTAAATTCAACCAAGAAGAATTCATTCTTATTTTTGTGAAAGCCCTTAACCACTTGCCTACCGGCACTTTTACCCCCTTCCTGCCTAGACCAATTTTCAGCTTTCATAGCTCTACCCTCACTAAATTTTTATCATTTTTGTGAGACAAATAGAGTTTTCTTTTGGTGGCATTTTATCACCACTGGGGTTTTTTATTTTTTGCTAAACAAAC